CGTGGACTAAGAGGCCACTATCTAACACATCGAGGAACAACCTTTGGCTGTCGGAGAATATTTCCTTCTACGATTTAGTAACAGATCGCTTAGAGCAAATGCTGAAAAGGTACGAATGCACCGGGCATCAAAGATCACAGAAGCCTTCTGCTTATGCACACGCATCAAGACAGTGATCCAAACTACAAAAATGGAATTGCTGACCACCACAGTAGGATATTATAAAACAACAGCGGTAAATCGTTTGAATCAATGGTGTGCCATGTGTCACTAAACGGTCGGCGATGCACTGATCATCGGAGAGTGACAGTGTCCGTCATATCTTTCCAGGAATGTTCAGGAGGAACGCATAACTACCATAAACTCCACATGAAAGATAGGGAGTCAATGACCGCAGTCATCCCAAGAAAACAATGTTCTGCCTTGAAAAGAGAATAACAGACCAACTGACAGTAAATTTGACTGATTTACTGAGGAGCTTAGTAGCTGACCTTTGCATCGTATGACACATCAACGCTTTCTACCTATTTATAATATTTATATTGTCGCCTACACGTTGTTCGTCCTAAAAACCACTGTAGTAGTTCTAGAAATTGGTGTCGGCCGGTTTTTTCGTGTGACATCATCGAATCATTGAGCATAGTGTCAAAATGCTTCATCAAACTGTTTTAATGGACAGATGCGACCGATACTCCTCATTATACAGGCATATTTTGGATAAAATATTATTACAATGTGTTACTTGGGCATGTGTTGCGAGTGCCTCCAGAAAGGAAGGCTAAGCAACTGTTCCTCGCAAATCCGACCAGCAAAAGGCCCAGGGGACAGCCAAATTTAACCTGGTGCAAATATATGGAAGGAGTCTGTTGCAGACTCCAGTTGTCTTCTGCCGAAGCTCAGACTCTGGCACAGGATCGGGAACGTTGGAAGCACTGTCTGACGTGTCTGCCTCCGCGACCCGAAAGGAGAAGCGGCGATGGAAGATGATGATGAAGATACAATGTGTTACCTCGAGTGCGAGATCAAAGCCTGATTTCGAAAGTGATGACACTAGAAAACTTGTAGTCTTAAGCAATACCCGTGCTACAAGGGGTCATAGATAGAAACGAAAAGGGCATAAAGCAGAGCAGCGAGTGATTTACTTTCGGAACCGCGACTGATTCGGCATTATACGCCGACTCTCCTTGATGGTTATAATCTGAGTACCGTTATTCTAAAGAGGATAGGCCATCGCTGGGTTGTCTGGTTGTCTTACCTCGCTATATGACCATGACTTCGCGGCAACCATAAAGCGCTGTCAGCTGATGGTGCTGATAAGGAGATGAGCCGCACAATGTCAGCTCATGAAAGAGGAGCGCCAACGTTCATTGTGGAAGTGTACATTCGGAGGGAACCCGACATACGCACGGATACAAGCATTAGTTACCGGTATTTGCACAGACTGGAAGTAACGCGATTAACTGTTCTTGATTCTGCTTGGATGCGCCCTTTTACCGCTGTGCTTTCGCCACAACGCGTGCGTGAAGCCGGGTGTAAAGGACAAACCATTCTATATGTAACTTTAGGACTGCAATCGTATGCAAAACATTTTCAATATATGTATATTCTTGACGGACTTTTGCAAGGATCAGCACTGTGATTATGCTAGCTGATGAGGACTAAAATCCAGTAGAAACTGGTGGACACTTGATTTTGCCGCAGACATGTCAAATTTTTCCTGAAAATTCATTCATGAGCATTCGTGAACGAATCAAGCGGTTTAAACGAATATTACAAAAGCTATTTTTAGATGCTTAAAGAAACGAAACAAATCTAAGCCGTTATAATATTGGGACAAGTCAAACTTCACAATGGGCATCGTTCCTGGCGTCCTTGTTTCAAGGAACTTATAATGCGACACTGAATTCGGCTTCAGTACAACTAATAGAATGTCATTTACATTTTATGAAGGCAAAGTCTGCAATCACGTGATAAGCGTAAAGTGTAGTCTCCTTTTTCAATGTATTGGGGTCGAAATTTGGTGAAACTAATTAACTATCCACAAACCATGGCTTTCCTCGTAGACGACAGAGTCTTACATCGCGCTGAGTCGTTTCTCGCCCCTCTAGCCACTCAGTCTCGCCTGCCGACGGCAGATGTTGAAAAACAAAAACAGAAAAAAGCTGTTAGGAAGCAGCAAGTCGTAAAAACCACGCTTGCGGCTCTTTAAAGTTCGACGCAGAACGCAACCTCAATTTTCCTCAACTAGTTTAACAGTGATTGCTATCTATGCACGAGATTCTGTCACTGTTTTGTAATTTGCAACGGCTGTATCAATTAAAAAAAAACTATCGGTCAGAATCTCATCGCAGGAACACAAAAAGTTTAGGAATGGTGAAAGTTACGAAAAGCGAGATAAGCAGGCATAGAACGAAAAGCAAAACAGTACACCACATTCGACCGCCAAATGCCACAGTTAATAGGCTTGTCAAAAACGTGAATGAGTCAACAAAACAGCAAAGCTGAAACCAGAAAACCAAACTTTACTATGTTACGAATAAACGGTGTGCAGTTAAGCAATCCGAAGATTTCAGATAACTTCTCAAATTCAGACTCTTCAGGGGCATTTTCATTTAACACATGTAGATTAACAAAAATCAGTTCAGCCAGTTCTGTGGTTTTTCATCGAGATCTCAGACATTTAAAAAATGAGTAAAAGACAAAGGCAGAAACTAAAAGTAAATAGCCTGTTGTACTTATCATCATTTGCCATTTGTACAGCTTCTGCTAGCCAGGACACCACTGGCATATTAGGAGACTTGAATACCTGAGGCGAGATAAAATGGTTAATATGGATGTTAATAACAGCTGACAGTCAAAGATGAAGTTGTGGACCTTTTGGAACCTCAGACAGTATTCGTTCGTTATATTACAATAACAGAATTGTAGGTTGAGAAAAATAAAGTATTCTGATCATTACACGATGATGATGAATTTTTATATTTTCTAATATTTCTAAGATCATACAGTTCAGTAAAGTGAATACTTTTAACTTAAATCCGGATGTATTAATGGGCGGGACAGGGTGGGGTCGTTCAAGTTCGCATTAGTTTCGACTTCTGCGCACTAAAAGGATGCCAATACAGACACAAGGACCATGTAGAAAACTTTATGTTCAGTAGCGGTCAGGGATCATGGGCTAAGCTCTATTCTTGAACCAATTCCTTTGACAAAATGGCGAACTGAACACATTTAATGGATAGGTGATTCGTCGATTCCTGTTCGAGTACCAGACAGCAGTGGCCATTACTTTGTCAGATCTGTTACATACCGCCATAAGAGTTCGTCAAGGTGATGCCCCCCCCCCCATTGTTTAACAGTATGGCGAACTGTGTTACACAGAGAGTCGTTTCAAATTTCAACAAGAGGCTGACCGTCAAACAGCGATGCGGCTCGAGATATCCAGCGGTATTCTTAACAGATCTTCAGTACACCGACGACCTCCACGTCACAAATGACCTACGAGCACTCATCGAGCGGGCATGCCACACTGCCATGGGAGTGGGGCGCCAGATTAACGCCAAGAAAACAAAGATTATGAGTATACTAGTAGCAATCACCAACCCGAGAATATAAAGGACGATGGCGACAATGATCTTGACGTCAA